TTGATCTTTTTAACTTTATATCTGTCTACGCCGCGGCCATGTAGCTCGCAGAACCGACAACCGATGGGGAAGAAAGGTTCTCGAGTGGCAGCCTCGTACCGGTATGTGAATGGCTTTGTGGCATTCCTTGGGGGTGGCCTATGTTTAGCAGGGGATTTGTAAAAGGCTGTAATGATGATGATAATGATGATGTACATCTATGATCTTTTAGTTGTATTAGTTACATTGAATTCCATACAATAAAGTCCATCACAGCCCAAGAATGCCACAAAACAAAATCGTGAGCCACCTGCATTTATCGAAAGACGGAAGAAAAGTGCTCGAGTGGTACTGGTAAGCGAAGTGTAGGGTCGCCCCCCCATTGAGTGAGGACCTGGTACCACTTGCAGGAAGTCTATTGATTTAGGTGGCTCAGGTCATTTTATAATTTAAGCTAATTTCAGGAAATACTCTTAATATTCTTATTTTGCTCTCTGCATAAAAACTTTTTGCTATAAAAAAATCTAAATGTATGTTTACTAAACACTAGCTACTACTTCGCTCAATGACTCAATTAAAAGGAATAAATAAATAAAAGGAATAAATTCTCGTATCTAATAAGTAAATTGTGGTTAGCAGTCTTGTTGGCATAATTTCTTTTTATTTTAAAAAACGTTACCTACCCCTTAGCACATACATAAATTGCACAAGGACAAACATCCAGACCCGGAACAATTAATTCATTTTTTATGTTTCCTATCCCAATTATAAGTACAAAATATGTTCCGTTACCGTTTCCGTTACTGCCTATTCTACTGCTGAACATGGGCCTCCCCCATAGATTACCTCATATAATAATGCCTCATGGCTCATGGATGGTTACCATAGTTGCAACACTTGGCTGGTGTGTTGGCAACTGCAGTTTTTTATTTTTAGTTGTTATTAGAAAGACGCTGCTGCTCATTACCTTTTTTGTTTCCCTCTGTCGCCTCTTACGACACCCAGGCCTCCAACATGCACGGGACGTTATGGGTTAGTATATATTCTTATACAGCCACTACACGGTACCAGGTGTTCACAGTTTGTTAATTCAAACAATTTCTAAAGTAACAAGTTTAGGTTGTAAGTCAGTTAAAAAGTAAAATCCTATATATCTCACTGCTGGGCACAGGCCTCCTCTCATTTCTGAGAGTGTTTTAGGGCAAGGAAATGTTAGCCGCGCTGCCGCAATGTGTGTTGGCGAACTTCACATGTCATCGAAATATATATTTTTTCTTACTTCTCAGACATGCAGGTTTTCTCACGATGTTTTCCTTCACCGCCGAGCACGTGGTAGTTTACCAAGTCAGTTAAATAAATGGAATAAATTCTCGTATCTACCTCGATTTAAAATTTAGCGTTTTACATTATTTATAAGGCGTCATGTGGGCAGAGGAAATCGTCATTTTGGAATGTCTGTTGATTTTTATGAAAATTTCCAATGGATTTATCTTTATTATATTTTAATTTGGTTATTAAAAAAAGTCCATAACGTTGATGAATAAATTTGCTTATCGCTTTTGATTTTCCAACTTTCACCATTTGATGCTTTTAAATTTTAATAATGAAGTATGAAATAAAATATCGCATTTAAAAGTAGAATTTTGGTAGCGATAGCAGGCACTTTTTGTAACACTTGCACTGTTTGCGGTGTTTACGTCGAAATGGGCGAAAAAATGAACACCGACACAAAGCGTTTGGTGTAATCCGGGATAATATTGCGGCGGGTACTAAAAGTATCATTTGTAGCGAGTCGGCGGTGCATTTAAATATTTAGCTGTAAGAAGAAGGATTAGCAGTGTTTGTTTGTCGCAATTTCACTGTGGTGAAGGCTTGCGTTTTGCGAAAAGCGGCAAACTCAAAAGGTGAACTGACGTAGCGCGCGGCCGACGCGGTTACGTTGTCCCGCACGCACACCACAAAAAATATTGCAAGCTTAACGCACAAGAGCCCAGCCGCAAATCTATAATATACCTCTCTATTATACTCACGTATTGGTACAACTTGTATACATCTATATATATAAATAACTTCGTTTAAAATTGTGATTGTTAGAGGATAAGGTGATAGGACCTTTTTACGCAAAATGAATACATTTTAATTGTTATTTCAAACATTTACACATAAAGTACACTTTTATCGAGATAATAGCAAAAAATTGAGTTTGAAGTGGTTTTTCCATAATTGAACTACTTTCATGAAGACCTATATAATAGATCTGCAGATTTTTTTGTTACAATTCCACGCGGATGAAATTGTGGTTAAAAGCTAGTAATAAGTGTTATCAACGACTTGCTTAAGACGATGTGATTATTATATATTAATATTATATTGTTGAACTCGCTTATCATACGCGTTTTTCCTTAATAATATATACGTAGGTATCTAAATGCCATTAAAATATTTCATCATTATAATTTATAAGTAATTAATCCACTTACAGAAAGTCTATAATTTAAATATCAATAGTAATTATTATTCATCATTCAAGGTAAATGGACGCAATATGCATAGATAGATACCAATATTTCATTTTAGTAAGAAATGGGACCGGCTTCTCAACGAGTTTTATTTTTGTCGATATATATTTGAACAAACAGTGAACACTTTAATGTATTTCATAAAGAATATGATTAGGCGGGTTGTTTCAATCGTTAGAAGATAAAACCTCTCCAAAATTTTATAGAGCAGTCATAAAAGAGCGGAGCCGTAAGATTAATAAAATTTGACGGCATGTCAATCTATAATATAGAGTCACTTAAGGCTTTTATCAAAACCTGTCAAATATAAAACTGACGATTGGTCAAATATGAACTTTATTATTAAAGCTATTCGTTTCATAATCAATTTAAATAATTGTATAAAGCTTATATACATAACTGGCGATAAAATGAAACTTAAGTAAACATAAGTATTTAGCGTTCCGTTATTAATGTGGTATAACTATAAACATAAGTAAACTTCGTTTTAATCGTGATCTATTTCTAAATAATTAAGTTTTAAAGGAATAAACGTCTTATTCGTGTTAACTGAAAATAAACTAGGTATAGAGTAAGATAATTTTGAATTAATTTGTCACACGATACATTTAAATGTCATTGCAACTTCTAAACAATCCGCATTTATTTATGTCATTTAATTGGTTTATTGTGGGGTACAAAGGAAAAGACCCTGAGACTCAGCATTAGAAAGTTATTAATTACTAACCAATGGCTTTTCTTTTCTTTCCCTCTTGCAGTAGCATCTTCCTGATAACAACTAAAAAATAAAAAACTGCGGTTGCAAATCCGCCTACCTAACGTGGTAACTATGGCAAATTTGTCCTTCATGAGGTAATCTATGAGTGAGGCCTATGTGCAGCAGTGGACTTTTTATATGCTATAATTAATTAATGGATGGAAATAAAATAAAATAAAAACAATCTTTAACTTTCTAAATTTAGCTTCTGATCGTGAACCTCATTCTCTTCATATATACCAATACACAGATAATATAGGACTCTTATATTCTTCATTTATAGTTTAAGTTATGGAAACTCTTATAGAACGCCTGACGATGTTTATAAGGCAACGAAAAAACATTTCCATAAAATAACATCAAATTAATTTTCACTTACAATACATGAATAAATATAATATATTATAGCATAAATAGTTATAATATAGGTAACACGGGTATAATATATGAAATTTATAAAGAAACTGAATTAAGTTATTAATTATTTAGTCCTAAATTTCCATCTGCCAACATTTTTTTTTATTTTTTACTAGTTCTCCTTAGGTTGACTGGTAGAGAATGTCGCAAAGCATTTAGTCTGTTCTTTGTAAGCCTACGCTGTGATTGCTATTACCGGATAAATAAATGAATAAAAAAATATGCTTCTAATTAAAAAAACAGATTACCGAATCATAAACTCTTTTTATTAAATGTAGATTAATATTTTTTGTAAATGTAGAAACACTCATAAAGTTACTAAATATTCATTAATTACTAATACTTTTAATATTTTGATAAAAATGTCACTAACTCTTTGAATTTAAAACCACATTTTTGTGTAATTAACGTTATATCTTAAAGTATAAGCAGCATAAAAATTACATTAAGATATTTGCACTTTGTCGAAACGGATTTCAATGTTTGAACTGATTACATGAACTTACTGTAATTTGCTTTAATAATATTAAAACTGATCTAGGTACTTCGTGTCAAGTGTGCACTATATTTTTTTTATTAATTTGTTATTACGAAATACAAATAAATGAAAAAGTGTTTAATAATGTGTTAATTAAAAAGTGATTAATAGCTCTCACTCTCGGATAATGTTACATAATAAATACCTGTAAACTGTGGTTCCCTTGTGATATCGCTTTGTGAAAATAGCAACTGATTATTTATAAACATTTTATAAAATTTTCGGACTTATTTAGTAAATACCTATGCGCTTGCGAAGAAGTTAGAGTCGCGTTAGAACTCATATTATCTTGAAACTATTAAATTTATTAGTTTAATTTTTATCTCAAAATTTTAAACCAACTTGGTTTAAACCAAAAAATCACTTTAAGTTTTAAGCACATTAAAGGGAAGCTTTTTAAATGAATTAAAGGATTAAGAAGCATTTTTTTGAAAAGTTTGTTTTGGAACGTTGTAGATTGTGGTCATTGAACTCTACATAATTTCTTATTTTCGACACCTTCCTGCTGTTGTGCATTTTACGAAAACTTGACCGTAAGCTCGGAAAACACATAAAACTTGGAAAGTCACTGCACTGTTTACTCACCGCGTCGTGGGCGAATTTTAGTGCTCACTTTTTGATGGATAGCAAATTTTATCTTCGCAAACTGTATCATTTTCGCAACCGGTGGTGACGGTATATCGACAACCGGGTGTCACGGTATTCCCGGGAATAAGTCACAGTGATGTGGGCGACGGTGTCGTCATGTGTGAGGTGCTGGGGTGGATGATCGTAGTGGAGTGGTAAGTACCGATGGAGACGCGGCGGACGCAGGCGGGCTTGACTCGCGGCATGTCGAGCGGTGTCGGCGCGCGCTGGCGGCTCACCGCCGGCGCATGGCAGGCGTCGGCGAGCACTCTTAGCTCGGAGGCACTGGCGCGGTCACTCGCGGCGCCGTCTACTCGACTCGCTCGAGGCGCGGGCTACGGAGCGGCAGCGGGTACGGAGTGCGGCCGGGCGCACGACTCGCCATCTGAAGCGGGACTGAGCGCGCCGCGGCGGCGGGCGGCGGGCGGCGGGCGGCGAGCGCGCGCGCGCACCAGGTATACGGTTATGACAGGGAGGCGGGGCCGCGCCCGGCTCATAAATCAAACTTCGCCCATTCGCACGCGCTCGCCCGGACCCCCTCCTCCATATTCCATATTCGGGGCGGGGCATATTTCATAATCATAACGCCTCATATTCATAAGTGACATGTGGCCGCGGCCTCGGCGCAGCGCAAGGCGGGTGGTGGGCGGCGGTGACGCCCGCTAGATGGCGGGCGACGCTGCCCCGTGAAGCCTCCTACGTTCGCTAATTGAAGCTGCACTTTGTAAGTTATAATCCTCTGTTTATAAATTTTCTTGTACGTCTCATAATAGACGTCATTCATCTTAGCTAATTGTGTTTTGTGGAATGATGTTTTAACTTATTATTAATTATCGGTTCTCTAAAATATTTTTTCTATTATTAGGTAGATTAAAAAAATATTTTTAAAATCTGTTGTTGATGAATATTTAATTTATTGACGATACAAATTTAGGAATTGACATACGCATATAAGTTTTTTTCTTTATCTATTTAGGACTTCCAATGTCTATGAAACATTTGAATGATTATTGGAGGTTAGTTTATGCAGATTTCAATTGTAGATAAGGGCTGTGTATGAAATATTGTTGAAATAAAATTTTTATTTTGTATAATTAAAAATTAAAAAAATTGTACAAACAACTTCAATATAAATTGTTAAGAATAACTCAAACACTATTGGTAAGACCTTGATCAATATGGGACCACATGTGAAGCATCAGCTTTCAAATAAATAAAGAATCATTGAAATTGGTTCACTCAGTAAAAAGTTATGAAGTAGGTATCACACATAAAAAAAAACATACAGTCGAATTGAGTACCGTCTCCTTTTTGAAGTCGGTAGAAAATAATTGTCTTTCCTCACAAAATATTTTATTGGCAAAATATGTGTGAAATTTATATCTAGATATTAATTATTTTTTTCTTATTTTTATATAGAATAACTAAGGGTGTCAAACAAGCACACAGTCCACTTTATGGTAAGTGGATGATGTGGTCCATAGATACCTGTTACTAAATTCATACAAAGAAGGCTAGAGTTGTGTTGCCACTTCCTAGTACTAAGATGTAATGCCTCAGAGCATGTACCTAATTATATATACTGGCCCCCTATACCCTTCAAACTAGAACACAGCAGTGCAGGCATTAAGTATTATTTGACAGTAGTTATAGGGGGGGCTCTACCGAGACGGATTCCTAGGCAGGACAGCATATTTCAAGTAAATATTCCAAGTTATTCCAATATAGATACATAATAGAACTACGAGTAGAGACTTCGCACGGGTGATTTCTGGATCTCGACAATAGTGCCACCTACCGGGTCCAATTGTAAATTTAAGCCATCCAACGACCCACTCAAATACACACAAGATTTTTTTATCAAAACGGTCCAGCCATTTTCGAGCTCTTGTGAGACTTACGGACAGCATTGTTTTTTATATATAGATATTATGGTAGTAGTAATTTCAATCGTTTCTTATATTAATGCGACGAATTTATACATGTAGCTATCTAGGTAACGAACAAATCGTTTACAAACAAACGGGCGTGTTTCCTCAAACCATTCACCCGGACAAACGTACGGCAGCCGTGTGACGAATCCCTTCCATTGACATCCGTAACTAGATTCATTTGATTTTCGATTTTTAATTTTTCAAACAACTTCGCTAGGAGTTCGTTATCATAAAGAGCGGGGCATGTCAATCGCTTTGTGTGCTTTAAATTAAATAGGCTGTATGCATGTGATTTCCACTCCCGGGGCGGCTCGAATTCAATATTAATGTGATGGAAGCAATTTGGACAATTCTGCCAGTCATCGAAGCAAGGCTTCCGTGAGGCAGCAGCGGGAAGACCCTTGCTACGTGACCTACAGCTAACAGGACGATCTGTTTTATAATACGGAAACGGGCCTGTATAATTTCATAATGCAAGTCATGATCCCCGTCGAATTTATGTCTTAATAATGAAACAGTGTTAATTACTTTTTTCGAAGTCAAAAATATTTAATTTAGTTTATGCTTAATTATAACTTTTATGAACGTTAAAATTTTAGACTACAGAGAAGAACTATGGGGTCATTGTTTTTCCTATTCTTTTTTTTAAATCAAAAGCCAAGATTCCATTTAATGCTGTAACAAGTTAATGGAACTATATTTTTTAATTTCACACCTGGTGTAAACGACGTGGCTGTACCGCCAACTATCGGACGGACTTCTTAATTGAGGATAAATGTATGTCTATGGGCCACGGCATCCACTTACAATCCGGTGGACTATGTGCTCGTTTGTCACCTATTCTATAAATAAAAGGCATGCTTAACTTAATGATGCGCAGGTAGTATACCCTAGCGAACAAAACACAAAATGCAATTTATAACTGAATGCTTTTCCAAGGCAATAACGTAGCATACATTTAAGAAACTACTTATTCTGCCCGGTGGAAGAGAAAGCCACAGTTGAGCAACTCCTGCAATTGATTGAAAAGATAGAGAACTATAAATAGCCATAACAGCAATATATTATACTGGTGGCAGAATAAGTCTTGCACTTGCATAGCAGCTCGTAAAAAACGTAGTTTGTTAGTCTTAAATATATTAATATTTTAAAACCTTTTCAGCCAGCAGCAAGCGTCTTGTATGAAATTGTTTCTGAGAGAGTTATGGAACCAAATTACGTATTGGTAGACTTTACGTATCCTTAAAATTTGATAGTCGCATATTCTCACACAACTTACCCCGGTAATGGTGCTTCTCGTCACCAGTCTTTAGAAATTGGAGTTCAGCATTTTCCAATAGACATGCTATGAAATTTAAGTCGAGAGCTTATTCCCTGAGCTACCACAAAAATACTTGCATTATTAATGCTGTCTATATCTATAGTAGTATAGACAAATAGAACAATTAAATAAATTTTTCAATTAAGGGCTAACATTGTTGGTGTTTTTGTATCATTGTATGTACGTTGAATATTCATTATCACGTCATCGGCCTCGCTTGGCTTTATGCGTGTGTACAATAATTCGAATGCAGCCCTAGAAATATTTATTCCATGTGGCATAAATTCAAACAACTAGTTTTTATTATCCAGTACCTATGTTCTCACCGCTGGCTAGTTGAAATTCTTTACCGAAGACATGCAGATTGCTCGTCCCCACTTTTTGGGTCATTAACTTAACCTTTTTTTTTATAGAAATAGGGTGACAAACCAGCACACAGTCCACCTGATGTTAAATGGTTACTGAAACCCATAGACACCGACATCTCTTCTCGTTTGCGAATCAAAATGTAGATGCGTTGTCAGCCTTGAGGACTAAGATGAAATGCCTCAATCCAGTAAAAAAAGGTCTCCGGTTCTCTATACTCATCATACGAAACAGCAGCATTAAGCTACTATTTTACGCTGATATTCTGTGAGAGCGTGGTCCTTCCCCAAGCCCACCCATTCGTGCTACAACTATACTATAAATATAGCTGCAACTTGGCTCTACCACACAATGTGTATATCCTCAACGATTTCCGATATTCGGTAGCCAGTAGTTACGGATTTGAGCCAGAAGTTAGATTGCTGATTTTTATTTAAGCCGGCTAGTTCTATACATATAAAATTAACCTCCAATGTTATAGAATGACATTATGACGTCGTGTGGTAGTTGTTTACCTTTAACAAGTTTTCTATTAAGTTTGGTAAATTCCCAAATGTATAAATGGTGGTGTTGTGCTACGATCCTACCTCACAGTATGTTTTTATACAAATAAAGGAAACAAATTAGCACACAGTGCATATTATAGCAAGTGGATACTGTGCTCTAGACACATAGATTTATCCTCAATTAAGAACGAGAAATCAGATGCGTTGTTATACTTGAAAACTCAGATAGAATACTTCGTTACAAGTAAAAGGGGTCTTCGGTTCTCGACACTGACTACACATACCAGGACAGTGTTAAGCTGTTATTCTTTGTCCTTACCCAGTAGAGCCAATCAATTCACGCTGCAATCATAATACAGGTGCAGCGTGGCTTTACCAAGAATGATGTTACGTGGTAGAGCCATGGTAGAGCCATTGATTATGCAGCCTAGGATAGTAAATCGCCCTAACTTAGCAAGAAATTTATAATAATTTCTTATGTATACGCGAACAATACACATTTAAATAAAACTAGTTTTTAAGGATTTTATCGCGTATATTAACTTATTTTAAAGACGTTTCGAGCACTTTACAGCACCCGTGGTAACTAAGGTGTTCGAAGTCCCAATGTCATAGTTAACCCCGGCTACTTTCAAATTAAATTATTAATTTTTCGTCATAGTTTTCGTTAAGTTCATACTGCGTGGAAGTATATACGCGTTAAAATCTGTAAAAACTAGATTTATCGAAAAAATTAATCAATTCATTCTTACAAAAAGGTGATCTCTGTAAATAGTGTTATTGTGATTTTTTATTTATTTAATAACGTCTAAAACTCCAAAGCTACGAGTAAAGGAGTTTAAGATGTTATCGAAATTGTGATCGTGTATTAATTAATATAAGTAGATATGTGAATAGCGATGTGCAAATAAGATATATCATTATAATGCGACCATAAATAGTATAGTCTGTCACTTTTTTTAAATAGCTTTATAAACTGCTGTTCTTATTTAAATAAAACACAAGTTTACATAATTAAACAAGCCATTGAAACAATTCAACGCATTTGAGAAATATTTTATGTCATATATGGTATCTCA